CCCACCCGCCACGTCAGCATTTTCCTTGATTTCCTTGAAAATATTTTTCCAACCGGCTGATGCAAATTTTTTTTTGGGAAATGGAAACAAATATCATAATCAATTGTAAAAAAAAATTTCACTTTAATTGACAATTTTCATGTAAAATAAAGTCAAACGAACACTAAATTTTGATAAAAAAATAATTTTTTAGAATACAATTTTTTTTTCTTTACTTTTTGGCAAATGGAAACAAATTTTATAAACCAATTGTGGAAAAAAATATCACTTTAATGGACAATTTTCATATAAAACAAAGTTAAAAATTTTTCGGATGGAAAATTATACCAATCAAATACACTTGAAATTATTTTCCCTACAAAACATTTTCTAGGCAAATCTTTTCCCTATAAAACATTTTCTTTCCACCCATTTTCCACCATTGCAATCAAACGCACTTAGAGCATATCGTGTGAAATAAGCACATTGGTTGGGCATGCCTTGATCGTGTCTCTATAGTATATACAATGATTGGCTCGACTCGCTTCTTTGACTCCCAACTAATCTCTTTATTTTTTGTTCTTCTTTATATACCATATCTTTTGAGTGAAGACTGAGTCCGCCACCATTTGACAACAATGTGAATTCCAGGGTTTGAAAGAGCACACTCTTCTCAAAAGATGAAGCTTCGAGCATCATATCCAAGGTTGCCATACCCTGAGCTATTAGATGAGAAAACTCGTTTCGTATATACTTGTTAATGAGTAGAGTCTCTTTGAAGTGATGGCTAGGCTTTTAGTGCAAGACAAAGTTCGATGCTTACATAGTAGATCCCTTTAGTAGATGAAGTAGAGATGTCAACCAACTCACTCTCTCAAACCTCTCAATTGAACGCTACCAAAATAGTGCTAGAAAATAATAGTTCGTCGGAACTAAAGTATTGAACTATTCAGTTTTGGTAGTGTTCAAATATTTCCCAACTGCAGAGTACGTTTTTTTATTCTTTTTCTTTATGTAACTTACTAACATATAGAATAAAAATTCAAAAGCATCGAGTTCTAGCATTACTTCTCCAAATGGATTCTCTAAATAAAAACTTTAAACCCAAAGTCAGCTGATAACTAAACTACCAAAAGCTACCCTAAAAAGAATCGAATACAGAATATTCTTCCTAGCTAGTTGAAGACAACCAACTAAAACATGGGAAAATTGCAGCAGCGGTCCCTAACCTTTCAAAAATATGAACATGGGTCCTTCCATTCATTTTACCGTTAGTTGACCAAGAAAAATAATTCTAACCAAATTTAGTATGGGCAAAATGTTAACTTCAGAATTATATAAACCCCACCCCTCCCCAAAAACTGCCACGACTGGCCATAAACATTACCTTTTTCGACGAGAACCAGCCTCCACCACCACAACCACCTTCCATGCCAATGCACATCCGAAAATCAAAACAAGAAAACTACCTATTTTCTGAGTTATACAGCTTGGAACAAAAACATAATTCCAATTCCAAATTATGCGTGAGAAATTGTGGATTTTCTACGTTATACAGCTCGGACTCCCTCCATAGCTCAAACCCAATTCCAATTCTCCAAAATCCTAAACCTTATAAAACCAACAATTTTTCAATCGACACCATAGCTTGGAACTCCATTTCTCAATTTCTCAACCCACAAATTTTGGGCTTTTTAAAATTTTGCTGAAATTTCTCAACCTACGAATTTTTGTACAACAAACCGTCTCTAGAGATTTGTCGGAACTTTGCTTGCAATATTGATGAGAGATCTCATGGTTTGCGCATCAACAAAGGGGTAACAGAAACAACACCTATTAGAAATAGAGATATTATAGACTGAAAGTCATAGAGTTCACCCGCCGATTACAAGTTGCCAAGAGCTATTCAAGTTTGAGCGTGACCAAAGTATTAGTACTCGTGGGTAGATTTCTTGAATATTGCAATTCTTAAATCTTGTGGTGGGATGGGGGTTGAAGTAGGTGGATGTTGTGATGGTGAAAATAGTAGTGGAGAAGGTGGTGGAAGATGGCGGCGACGACGATGGAAGACGGTGTGATGATTGGGAATGACTTTGGTTTGGGGGAAAATGGGTGTGTGTGTGTGGGTGGGGAGTTTTTGTTATTTTATTTATTTTTTAAAATTTTTTGATATTTTATTTATTTTTGGTTTTTTTGATTAATTTATTTAATATAATAATTTCGATGATATAATTTTGTCCTTACTAAATTTGGTTAAAATCATTTTTTTTGTTAATTAACGGTCAAATGGATGGAAAGGACTCCATGTACATTTTTTTTAAAAGTTTGGGACTACGGATAACACGAAATTATGATTATGGTAAAGTCTGTAAAAAAGTGGAAGGTTAGAGACCTGCAATTTTCCCTTAAAACATTTCATTTGTCAAAATAAAATATTTGTAAAAAGGAGTCACGTGAGAATCTCACGTGCCTCCATTTCAGGTCCGCACAATAAACATAATAGCAAGGTGCATCTTCAGTTGTACCAAAGAAAGTGCAC